CTGAAGGTAGCCCAAGTAGCTCCTGCTTTTTAATACTAGATTAGCTAGTTGCTAAGAATCATAGTAAATTTCTGTGAGCTTTCAATCCCAGAAATTTGTTATAGGTAAATAAATTACTGTCCTTAAATTTTGGAACCATTTTTTTACTTACTTTATTTATTTATTTAGTAAGTAAGTACCAAGAATTGAACCCGGAGGCCCTTAACCACTGAGCCATATCTCCAGTCGTTTTTATTTATATATATATTTTAAATTTTGAGACAGGATCTTGTTAAGTTGCTCACTAAGTTGCTAAGGCTCAAACTTGTAATCCTCCCGTCTCAGTCTCCTGTTGAATCACTGGGATTACAGGTGTGTGCCACCACACTAGGCATTTTTACTTAGATTTCTTCATTCATTCAGTTTTTAAAGAGGCACAATAAACTTAACTTACCTAAGGCCACTCAGAAAAGGTATACAATGTCAGACTCTAGTGTTTCCATTCTTAAGTCAGACAAATCCTTGCTAGATTCAAATCCTTGCTCTACCTTAATGTTTTTAATCTTAATTTTTTTATTTGTAAAATGAAATAGTAACATCTATTTTGCATGAACTTGTATGAAAGCTCAATAAATGTTCCTATCATTACTAAGATCTTTGACTCCCAGTTTTTCCCATTTTTGACTGTTTTAACTCTTGTGGTCAAATTTAGCTCAGAGTTTAGAAATTTCTTCTTTAACAATAAGCTAAATTTATCTTCTCCTTCAGACATATGTCTTTTTGTCTTCTCTGGGTGGATCATTAGACTCCTCTTAGTAGCTGGAAAATCAATGTTTAATACATTTATTTGATAGTCATTTGTGCTTATATTCTTTTCTGCTTACAGTAAGCTGTGGCTAGGCAGAAAATATTTTTAAATTCCCCTTTATATTCATAAAACCTAGCATAGATATCTTACACCAAGCCCAAAGTACAAATGTTGAACTGAATTCAAGTTTTCTTTCAGCTCTAAAAATTTTTTTCTTCATATTGTCAGTTTTTCTACTTTGAATATTGTTTTTAATGTGTCTGCAGCATTCTTGAGAGATGCTTGAAACTTCATTCAGTGTGAAAAGTCTAAAATCATAATACATTCATCTTTCAGTATCTGTGGGGGATTGGTTCCAGAACCCACTGTGGTT